AGAAAGTAGCAGCCCAGGATAAGTTAATGATATAATTAGATCAGTTATTGCCAATACAGGAGTTTGCCCACAGGCTAAAATGTCTGTAATATCACTCTCTAGGAGAACTTTCAACTCTTATGAATCTTCTTCAGCACTTAAAAATCAAACTTACAGGAAACAAACAAACCACAAAACAAACTCATGACCATATTACACCAAGTTGTCTACACAGTCTCCCCAAGAGTCCAGAGCATTTTAGATTATTCTATCTGGTTACAAGGTTTACTCTATTGTTGAAATGAAGTCTTATCCTTCTTAGTTTGGAGTCAAGGCTAAGAAAGAAGTAAAGAGATACTAACAGATTGTCCAAGAAAGAAGAAATGGTCGTTCTGAGGGTGTGACAGTAGAGGGGCAGCTGTGTCACTTGACCTACAGAGGCATATCAACAGCAATGACCAATGTTCCAGGACATCATGAGACTTGACTGAACCACATTGGGTTGATCTCTCTCACTGCCTCACTAGTGTTTCTATGAAAATTGAACATACCTAACATAGATGTCTTTCCTCCCCTCCTTCCTATCTGCTTTCTTTGAAACTTCAACTCTGTGGCCATGGCATTGGACCAGGTGAAATCTTGGGCCATTGACCATTCATAGAATGCTGCCTTTGACTCAGAAATCAACTCTAGTCCAATAAGTTGTGGCCAAGGTTTTAAATCACAAAAGCAAGTGATCAATCTGCAAAGATCTACTTCTGACCATTTTTTATAAGGACACCACAGGCATGGCAAGCACTCAGTGTTTCATAAACATCCTTGCATGAGACCTTACCAATAGATGGCATTTACTCCGGTTGTACAGCCTTGAAGACCTCAAATTAGGATGTAATTTTATAACTAAAATATCCAGAAGAATGTCACCTAAACATGTATTTTCTCAAGATTCAGAATTTCTCCCTTGAACAAAACCAAAAAAACCTCACCATATTAAGTTTCTCTTAACTTCTCTTTTAAGTTGTAGATTGGTCCCTATATACAGGATACCTCTTGGGCACAACCACATCCTCTCAGCACATCTTTTCACTCCAGCCATTTGCTACAGCAACCAGCAACCAGATGTGCAAGTTACTGACAGTACCTTCCTCAGCAGCCATTCTGATACATGAGCAAACCTGGAAACGTAAGAGAGTTAACATTCCAGGGAACACTTTGTTTGACCAATGAGAGATAAATACTCCTTTCCTTAGTTCTCTCAGGCGATCTATTCTGAGGTGCATTCCGTACAGCTCTTCAGAGGGGCCTTGATAGGACTGAGCCCCAGTAGCCTACAGAAGTGACCAATTAATTTGTCAACACACCCTTATGTCTTACAATCAAGATAGCCTTTCTTTTGTCAAGTAGTTCCTATGATCCAGGAAACATGTCTCACTTTTTAACTTGTTGAATTAATGCTTAATTTTCAGAGAGCAACACTATTTCTTTTTTTTCTATTATTTTATAAGCATCTTCTTTTCACCCTGATAAAGGTGGGTAGCTGAAAGAGAATGGAGGCAGAGCAGCAATCCTGTGAAAAAGTCTCAACTCCAGATGTCCAAGCCCTACTGTACCCTTGACCTAGTGATTCTTAAGACCTTCATAGGCAAAGTCTATAAAGACTCTTGCCCTCTACCTCACCTGCTAAATTGATCTCTCCATGTAAAGTTTAGGCATGTGGGTCTTTCCAAAGCACTCCAGTAATTCTGGTTTGCAGCCTCAGTTGAAAATCATTGATGTAGATGGATCAATCTACCAAAGAAGGAAACTGAATCCAACCAGTCATTAGCACTACCTCAACTAAAATATAGTCAAAACAATTGATACTTTCAGAATGAGTATGTGGAAAACTGAAAAATCATCTCTCTGCAAAAAAAAAAAAAAAAGAAAAAAAAAAGGAGGGGCACACAGAAACATTCACTTCACAGAGTAGGTATAATCAGATTGTCAAATTCAGAATTACAATGAGAATTACAGGAATCCATTCATTTACTTTTTGAGACACTATGATGGCTTAAGTAGGCACCATAAGAGATATAAAAGATGAAAAGATTAATAAAAAACTGTCTCTGCTCTAAAGAATAGATAACACCAGTGCATTGAATAGGATGTAAAGAAATCACAAAAGTTATGATTTATCTTCCACTATTCATTTAAAGCTGCTTGGTGAGAAAAGTTTCTCCCCTTCTTCTGTTTGAAAACCCTGGCAGGTCTATGACTCTACCAATTACTCTTAAATTAGAGGAAATTTTAACGTTCGAGTCGCAAACCAAAGTTTCAATTCAGGAATTCGAATGTCAAATATTGTGGAACAATCAAATCCCTGAGCTTCATTTAGAGTTCAATTTTCTCCCCTCTTCCAGTTAGGACCAGCTTGAGGGGCTGTTGTGCCATTTTGCAGAAGCCTGTAATTAACTTTTCTTCTTCTCTACTCCTTGATTAGCTTGCCAACTGTTGATTCTGGATTGAGCATGGAAAGGGAGGAGGGACAGGGGCTTATTGAACATTCTACTTAACTGATCCTTTTCTAAGAGTTTTATATGCTCTTGGCCTGGCTATTATGAGAATTGACTCTTCCTTATGGGGACATTTGTGAGTTTTTTTTTTTTTTTAAGAGACGCTAGTGCTAGCTCTTTCTGACTTTAACTACCACAACACAGACAGTACCTCTCCTTTGATTAGTTAATTTTGATCTCCACTCAGCTTCTGTTTTACTGAAGTCTCTGTGGTATTCCTTCACTCTGCTCAAAAGCATGTTGAGCAGAATCCAGGGCTTTAGATTCTTCAGGGGTGTGTCAAGTTCTCAAAGGGGTGTCCTTGCAACCCCTCTCACTAGACTTGAGATGAGAAGGTAGCACTCTGTTCTCCTCTGAGGTGGGTTTGATTCAAAGCATGGCAGCTCTCTCTAAGAGATCTCTTTACCAATCTACCCCTTCTAAAACACACTTTTTTTATACCCTCAAAACTGGTGAGTAGTTCCAACAGAAAAGAAACTGGTTTTGACATTTTTCTTTAAAGTTTCCCCTTTTTGTCTATCTTAGGATTACCTTGGTAACTGATATCTAATGTAACTTGGAACAGCAGTCAAATAATGTAATTTAACAAGATGGCACAACTGCAATATAATGTGTAAGTGCAGGATATGAGATCTATGTATGTAGCACTGGGATAACAAAGGGCCGCCTTGCCTAGCTGGAGGATGAATGGTCCAGGAGATTCCTGGAGAAGGTAATTCCTTATTTGACTCTTCCTTTTTTTTCATTCAATGAATATTTTTTCCAGTTTCATTAAAATATAATTGGCATGCAACATTGTATAAGGTGTATAGCATATGATTTGACTTACATATATCATGAAGTGATTACCACAATAAGTTTGGTTAGCATCCATCATCTCATATTGATAAAAAAATAAAAATAAAAACATATATATAATTTTCTTTGTGATGAGAACTCTTAGGATTTACTCTCTTAACAACTTTCATATATACCATACAGCAGTAACTATAGCCATAATGTTGTACATTACATTCCTAGTACCTATTTATCTTATAGCTGGAAGTTTGTACCTTTTGACCATCTTTATCCAATTCCCCACTCATCCCACCTCTGATAACCACAAATCCGACATTTTTTCTAAAAGTTTGTTTGTTTTAGATTCCACATGTGAGATCATACAGTATTTGTCTTTCTCTGTCTGACTTATTTCACTTAGCATAATACCCTCAAGGGCCATCCATGTTTTCACAAATGGCAATATTTCTTCCTTTATATGGCTGAATAATATTCCATTATATTTTTCTCACAATTCTTTTACCTATTTACTTGTTGATGGCCACTTACATTGTTCCCATGTCTTGGCTATTGTAAAGAATGCTGCTACAAACATGGAGGTGCAGATAGCTCTTCGACATGGTGGTTTTGTTTCCTTTGGATATATTTTCAGAAGTGGAATTGCTGAATCATATGGCAGTTCTATTTTTAATTTTTTGAGGAACTTTCATACTATTTTCCATAGTGGCTGCACCAATTTACATCCCGACCAATAGTGTACAAATGTTCTCTTTTCTCCACATCTTTGTCAGCATTTGTTTTCTCTTGCCTTTTAGATGCTAGCCATTATAACAGGCATGAGGTGATATCACACTGTGGTTTTGATTTAATGAATGTATTAGAATTAGTAATATTACTACTTTGAGGAGGGGAATTTTTTTGGAAGGGAGCATGCTTAAGAAGACACCCTTATGTCAAGTACATTATATTTTGACAGATTCAAAACACAAGATTTACAAAGAAAGTCTTTGTGGGTTTTTTAATTCTTTCATTTTGTCTCTAAAGTTCTTATCAGGAATGTAAATGTCACTATAAAATTAGAAACTCTATACTATTATTAATTAATACTAGGGAATTTCTTAAATTCCATTTATGCTAAGAATAACAGGCTCCATTTTCTAAGGGAGAGTGTGAGAATGGTCATTTATAAATTTAAAATACATCCTGATAAAAACTGACCTTGGGAGTTGAGAGGCATGACTGCTTTGAAATGATGATATCATTTGAAGAGTAGTTCAAATACAATTTAATGGACTGTGAAACTATAGTTTGAAATTAATGAGTGTACCTAGTAAAAATTTTTGCATCAATAAGGAATATAAAAGGTCAGTTGAAATACTATAATTACCTTAATAGTTAAAGGATCTTGTTTATTAATATGTCAATTATTTTTAGTTTTTTTTTTGGGGGGGGTGAAAGCAAGGAGCTCTTTCTTTTAGCATCCTTATTATATCATTATAAATCATTTACCAAGTGTTCATACACACACACCACCCATGATGGATCACACTTTCAAAATACATGCATCATCTGGGCTTTAAGGAAATTTTGACTAAATGCTTTAAAGCCACAATTATATACTAATTTTGGATGTTGATTTGATCTGTCAAAACCTTGAAAGTCATTACCCCAAAAGAAAAAAAACAACAACTATCTGGTGAATCAACTTTATTGCATTAGAACAGTAGGAGTAGTATAGTAGTATCGCATAACAACTTAGTACAGAATAAATTCATACAAGGGGTCACCATCAGCAACCATGTCAGGGAGTAAAGGAGGGTTATTGGGGCATATATCACAGGAGGAGGGAAAAGCAATGGACCTGTGTTCTAGTCTCCAAAATATTAGTGGCTTATTGTGGACCTTGGGCAATTAAGTTCGACCTCTCTCAGCTTTAGGTGGCTTAACTCTAAGATAGAAGGTGAGGGCTAGATGGTCTCTATGGTCTTCCAGCTATAACAATACTGGATTCTAAGGACAAATGCAGAGAACTTGGAAGATGAGGATGTTGCAGGTTAGAGGAAGAACAAGTAAAAAGCTACAGAAGTGGGGCAAAAACTATTTTTTTGTGCATGGGCAAGGTGTGCTGTGGTTCAGCAAGGACCTTAAACAAGACTGCTTAACTACTGAGGAGATTCTTGGGGCAGTAAATTTGGAAATAGGCAGGACAGAGTGCTAAGCCAAGTAGGGGATAATAAGCAGGGACCAAAATGGAGATAGAGATACTGCTTCCCATGGTCAGTAGTCTGACTTATCTTCATGGTCCCCACCTCACTCTAGAGTCTGTATGTTTTCATGGAACTTTACTGCAACTCCTTCCCCAAACCCATACATCAAGTAAAGTAAGAAGAAGGTGTGATTAAAGATGCCTTATCTTTAGACCCGTAAAAGTAGCCCTCTTTTGTGGGCTAGGAAGCCAAGAGCAATTGCTGAAAAGATGGTAGTCAGTCCAATCAGCCTCAGCAAGCCTGGCACAGAGGGCAAATGTCTCTCCAAAAAGGTCGTGGGAATGGGCTGTGCAGGGACGTCCTAGGTTTAGAGAACATTTGATATTAGTACAGGACTTGTGCATTTTGCTACAGAAAGTCTGTATTTCCTCCAGTTCTCTGAACATGACCCACTCTTGCCAAACTCCAGGCTGTTAAACATAACATTCCTTCTGGTCATAACACTCATCCCATTCCCCTACTGAGCCCTTTCCTTAACTAATTCATCCTTCAACTCCCAGTTTATATGTCACTTCCTCAGGGAGTTTTTCCTGTGCCCCCAGGCTAAGATGTTCCATCTTTTTACATTCTCAGCATGTCTTCTTCATCACACTTGTGCTTTTTGGTTATCATCTGTTCTCTCAACCACACATTGAGCTCTGTGAAAGCACTGTTGTACCCTTATCACAGCAGCTGGTGCAGAATAGGTGCACAATAAATATTTTTTGAGTTGAATAACTCTATAGTCTAATTAGCCTTCAATCTCATCTCTGACAGAAACATTAAGAGAATGAATTGGCCTGGCAGGGCTATTCTTTCTGGCTTCACACTTGATAGATGAATAACTTTGACCTTTTTGAGCCATGTGCTCCACAATGCATTTCACTCTATCTTGTATGTGTCCTTCCTTCCAGTCAGGAAGACTTCCTGGGTTTTATTACAAAAATAATAATGTATATATTGAAGATGCATTTTTAATCTCAGTCTGTTCCATTTCATGCCATCTCTTTGCCCCTGGACAGGGATATGCTGACTTATCGTCCTTTCATTTCCTATCCCCTGTTGAGAATCACCAGGTCACAGATTTATTCAGCAGACATGTGTTGAGTTCTTAATATATCTAAAGCTCTCTGATAAAAAAAAAATCATATTTTCCTAATAACCTGTAATGAATGTGGCAGCTACAAATTTATAAAAGTTCTTCCAAATCTCTCACCTCTGCCCTAACTCATGGTATCTCTTTAAACATCCATGGATTGAATCACTTAGAGAAAGGCATGTGAATATATACAAGAGTGTTCTTTTTGCAAATAATTGCTTTTAGAGGAAAGAGATTTAAATTCATGAAATAAAATATAACCTACCACAGACTCTGGTTCAGACTGCCAAATTTCATCCTCTGGGATCTTCCTCATGGCATGCAGGATCTGAAAAATAAGAATATCCTGGTGAATAACAAAAGCAACACCACCTTTCTCCTAATCACTCTTTAAATAAAGGATTAACTGAGTCTCAGGATAGTTATCAACACCACCAGGGTAAAAGCTAACATAGCCCACTCAACCTTTAAAAGTCTCCAAAAAGTCTTTCACTGATTGCATAAGAAGCTCTAATCATTAGACTCACCATAAATTGTAGTAGTTGTGAAGATACCTTAATATGGATGAGACCAGAGGAATTGTCGGCAAATATATAAAGGAATTTTAAGTTCTAATAGAAATATTCGACCTAGGTTATCTCTCAAGTACATCCATAATGATCTTTTGCCCTATGGGCTCTTTTTACCTTAGGTGACATGATAGATATTTTTGTTACTTTTGGGGTAAGGTGTTCGCTTTACCTGAGACTACTGTTAAAATTGTGTTTCATAGGTCTTCAGATGGAGATTACTGGTGAGATGACCTCCAGAATCTCAGACATCTTTGACCTGCTTGTCAGGACTATGAGTTGCCTCTTTCCCCACAGACAGTGATACTATGCCCTACCTCTCGGGCTGCTCTCTCCCCAGCCTCCACAGCACCCTCCATGTAGCCACTCCAGTGTGTGGCAGTCTCAGTGCCTGCGAAATAAATCTTTCCCACTGGCTGGCGTAGAATCCTTGAAACAAAAACAAAGAGGTAGCAATGGTCAGTTTCAGAGAACCAGAGAAGAATCTTCCCACAAAGACAAAGGTTGGTTGATTTTCTCAGATTGTAAACATCAGGAGTACATTGCCAGTTTTGGAATAGTGTTCACAAGTTCCTCCAAGTCTTGCAGGACCCATCACTGACAAAATGTAATAAAAGCCAAAGTCCATTCCTGCATCGAGAGCTTACAAGAAAAGAGACTGACATCAGTGGAACACGTATTTGCTTCATCTACATGAAGTTAGAGACTATAAGAGCCCAGTTATGAGTAGCTCCTCCTATGACACACCAACTCTCTATAAGCTGACATATGCCCCCAGTTCCCTATCTGTCTATTTTACCAGTGAACTTGGCAAATCACTTTCTTTCACTGAGCTCTGACTGCTCATCTCTTAAATGTCATGGTCCAATGATTTTAAGACCTTTTCCATTAGTAATATGTAACAAATCTGTAAGTCTGACTATGGTTCCAAACCTAACATTCATTGAGCTTTACAAGTGTTAAAAGTTTTACTGGAGTTTGGAGAAACATGGTGGAGGAGAGACATCCCCAGATCTCTCCCCTTGAAACAAAAATAAGTTGAACATCTAAAACTCAACAAAAAACACCCACTGTACACCAGCACGTCTGAGCATGGGATCTACACATAAGAGCTATCACAGGTCAGAACTCTGGGTGTCGGGTGGTGGACCGGAAGAAAAAGAAGCTGCCTCTCACAGACAGAGCTCACTGTAGGAAGAGGGGGAGGATAGAAGGCACAGTGAATTCCCTGAACAGCCATGCCTGGGAGAGCTGTGAGCTCTAGGCAGCTGGCAGCAGGGCCTAGTCATCAAAGCAGAATGCAGAGAAGCAAGGACAGCAGAGAAACAACAATTGATTTTTACTAGCTGCGGTTGCAAAACCGAGGCTGAACTGCAGTCCCCATCCCCCAACCCAGAAGATTCCTCCCCTATATCTGCCAAGAATGAACACCTCAGAGCCCCAGGGGGAATCTGAGCAAACGCTACCAAAACTGTCGCTAACACTGACAAGGACTGAGACTGAGGGTAGCGAGTGTGATTAAACATTTGTAATAAAAAAAGGCATTATTAAGGTGTTATATAAAGCAGGAATCCAAGAGGCTTACATGCCACCTACTGGAAAACAAAAGAAAAACACTTTTTTGCAACAGGCTAAAGAGAGACTTTTATATAATAAATCTTCCTTCAGAAAACAAAAAAACAAAAAACAAACAAAAAAACCCAGCAAAATACACTTCCATTAATGCCCAGGTGAAGAAATAGTCCATTAAACACCATGAACAACCAAGGTGACAAGTCCCCTCAGAAAGAAAGAGAAAAATCTCTAAAAAATAAG